TTTTGCTTAGGTATTTTAGTTCTGTGAAGAAGTTCACCTTATCCCAGATGAGATGTAATGTAGATGTTGTCCCTCTTCAAAATAGCATTTTTTTTCTTGTTAGAAAGTTGTGATCCAGGAATTGTAGAAATGCTGGCATGCTGGTATTTATGATATATACCCTCTGGACTGAACTTCCTCATGATGATGAGTCAGGGCATTTTGCAGACATTGTTGGTAAGTGCTGAGGTAGTCACCCTCTAAGTGTGCTTTAAGGGTGCACAGTAAAGCAACTAGTAGGCTCCCACGAGCCTTAGCTTTGGGCTCCCATATTGTAGTCGACTGACTTCACAGTTGACAGTGACACCGTGTTATACTGTGAGCCGGTTTTGTTTCCCTTTTTCCTAGTTGAGGGTTTCTAAAGAGATTATAAACAACTTCATCATCATTCCTGTCATGTGTGTCATCTCATTAGGTTTCATTAATACCAGCTAGTTCAAATGCATGTTTCTAAACAAGCAATTTCTATTCTCTGCATTTATTACTCGGGCTTTTTAATCTTGATATCTAATCAATGTATGAATTTCAGCACAGTGCAGTCTTTGTCTCTGCCAAATGCTGCCAACACAAAGACTAGGTAGGGCACACTAGACCATGTAAGGGCTGCTGATTCCTTCTCTTCATACCCTTCTGCTGTTACCTGAATCCCTCCTTACTACTCCAGCCACGGAGGAAGAGCTGTACAAACTGTACAGCTTTTCTGGTGTCTTAAAAACCCAGTTCCTTTAACTTATGCCTCTTGCCTAAGCAACATTTTCAGTTTCAAGTCCTTGTGTCTTCCCATTTCCTTCATTTCTCTCCAAGAAGAGATGGATGCTTTGGATGCTTTTCTCTGGCCACCTGTTTTGAGCAGAGTTTTAACAAAGCTGTGTGGGTGTCTTCTGGCTTCGTGATCTTATCCGAGTCTTCCTTTGGGTTGTGACTTGCAGTTCACCACCCCTTCGCTAGCCAATCCCTTGGACAATCTTTTCCTCCTCCACAGTAACAGGGGTCAGTCTCCTCTAATTCTATCTTTTTCTCTTTCTTTCTAGTATCTAGTGAGAGGACACTTTCTGCATTTCCCTGTCTCAGTACCCAAATTTTTTATGCTTGCATCATGGCAATAGCAAAAACTGAGTACCATATTTATCTATCAACCAAGGGTAATCACCAACTGGAGAACATTTAAAGCAAAATACTCCAAAGGAAAAGAAGAAAAAAAAAGGCAAAAACAAACAAAAACCTTTTTGCTTGCTATAGTTCTAATTCCTTCATTTGGTGCAAATAGATACAAAAGCAAATGCTCTGAACATATGCATCTCTTTCTTACAGAAATAAAACCCCACAAAGGGATGCTTATGTGTGCAAGGCTGGGGAGTTGTTCTGCATGGAAGACCTTGTCCCCTGAGAAGCTGGCGTGCCCCTTGGAAAACAGTAATGGAAATAAAATGTAAGAGGACTGTAAATTCAGGCATAACGAGCAGAATCTCACCACGCCGTGATCAGAGCCCTCACAGAACGGACGGGGCGCTTTGCGCGTGCTCGCTAAACGCAGCGAGCCCAGAGCTCCTCCGGGACGCGCCAGCTCAGGTGGGGAGGGCCGCGCTGCAGAAGGGGATGCGGCTGCTCTGGAAAACAACCCCCGGAATTGCTTAGGCCTCGGATGCAGCCGTCCTCTTAGGATGCTCTTGCCCCTAATCTTGGAGTTAAATTTTGGCTGAAGTCAGTGCTTTTACTTCCATTGGCTTAAACACTGGAAGGAAATAGGAGATTGTTTTTATCCAATACACATTTCTTCAGAGTAGATTCTGCGGCTGCTGTTTGCTACCATTTCTTCTTTCTTCTTTCTCATAACAACTAAAGTAAATCCAATCATTGCAGTGAAGTTGTCGGCATTACTCTCCTAGAGGGAAAGCAGCAGGCACGAGCATTTTGCTGTCGCTCCTTAAGCGCATTGCATTTACGTACTTGTTTGGTGGTTCCAAGATAATTTCGCAACTAGTTGGAAGGTTTCTATGGGATGGGACAAATCTGAAGAGGTTAAAAAAAACGCTTCTGCACACGGTTCAACATTTGGTGCTGGGATGGGAAAATCTAACTAACTCCCCTGGAAAGACAGGGGGAACTCGGCTCCCTGCCTAGCTCAAAAACAGAGATCTCATCGTTGCAGTGTGTAATGAGCTGCACTAGTGCTCAGAGCCAGAGCCCCCCGGCAGATCTAGAGATGGGTGATGGAGCAGCTTCATCATAGCTCATTGGGTAGATTGTTCGTGTTTCTATGATTTATGACTTCCTTACTAAGTTGTCTTATGTGTTTGGAGAAACAAGAGTTTCCAGAACTGGGACGAGGTTGAGTTGTGTTTAATGCTGCAGAGCTGCAGTTCTGACAAGTCTCATGACCGTGTGGTAATAAATGTGATTAATTATTGTCATGGACATCCAGGGAACTGCATAGGTAACCCCTTGCCATTAAAATACATGCATATTGCAAGTATACACAGGCAAATGCTGGGAAAATAGCCCAGCACTGTGACGGCCGGGGTAGCAAACGTGGGACGTCACAGGGACGCGGTCCGACCCGCGGCTGGGCGCCGTGGTTCCCGCCGTGGCTCCCGCGGGTCCCCGTGCGAGCAGTACAGTGTGGCCAAGAGGCAGCGGCAAAAGAAACTCCATCAGCAGCCAACACACGTCCTGGCTACGCAGCTCGTGTTGCATTTGCACTATCAGGTAACAGATGCAGTCGGAACGGCTGCGCTAGGCGGGAGCCTTATAAAACTGTAAAACCAATATAAATGCGCTTTTAATCGCCTACTCCATTTAAATTGTTTTATCCTGTGCAAAATTCATTATTTCTGGGAAATTTGGCCCAAGCTGTTGCAGTAGTTGGTAAAGTTTGCAGAAACCTATAAAATTTTAGCTTGCAGCAGCAGCCACCGGGGGAGGTCACTGCTCAGCCTGGCTGGAGCGTCCCCGTTGAGCCGGGCAAACCTGCCGGGTCGCTGGTTCCTTCCGTGCCCTCTGCACAAGACCGTGATCGGCCGCGTCGCAACGGTGCAACCACCAGCGCCCTCCCGCTCCGCAATGCGCCCGGGCTCCGTTCGCACGGACTGGGCGAGCAGGAGAGAGGAGGGTCGTGAAGGGGCCATCCAAGCCGGGGGCCAGGCCAGGGCTGGGACAAAGGGGTTTACGTGGAGGCCCGAGCGCACGCGGTGGCTGCAAAAAGAAGGTCCCGTTTGTTGATTTTGCGTTTTTAAGACTTTATTTGTCTAACATGCTTGACCAAAAATTACAACAACAATCAAGTTATGCCAAAATGATTAAATAACCTTTTAAGCTTTCATACCTCAAGTACTTTAAATGCTATTTTGAAGTAACAGCTGCTTTCATATCTTTTATTTTTTTATTCCACATAAAAATACACAGTATTTTGAAGATACCTTAGGAAAAATTATTTTTAAGAGAATAGTTTACGGTCAACATAGAAATTTCATCGAGGCTAATAAAAGGCCCTCTTCCCCTCACTTTAGCATTTTAGTACCTTAAGTGCCATGAGTGAATGTAAACATTTCAGACTTCTTTAACATACAGCCAATTTCCTGCCACATTTGTTCCAAAATACCTCGAATTGCAACTCGCCGAGACACTTTTATTCCACAACGTGCTGTTGTTCATCTTCCCAAAGACAGCGGCTGCCACATTAGACTATGAATTTCGGCTCTCGCTGATTTAGGAACCGCTCCTGCCGCTTCCCCACCAGCAGCCTGTGCAGAGCAGCTCCTTGAGACACTCCCCTAATGCCAGGAGCAGCACGAGGGCTTCTCGGCTTGGGAAGACGCCACCAATTTGCTTGGCTCCCAGGTCCCTGACGGGCTTAGAGGAAGGACAGGTCTGTGCCGTGTCGTGGACTCTGGTTCTGGCAGCTCTAGAGCGGGAACTCGTCATGGGGTTGGATCTCCCTGCTCCCAGGAGGAGGAGCTTTCCCTTGTCGGAGACGGAGTGTTTCGGCCTCCACCTCACACGGATCTGAGGCTGCTAGGCCTGGTTTTCAGAAACAGGTGTTTTAAATTGCAAGTGCCTCTGAACTGCTATTTGAGGCTCACAGATGAGGCTAAGAGTAGGATACACAACGGTGGGGCCTGCATGTGCAAGACGGGCGCACATAGGGACAGCGCGGTGATCTGCCTCACGTGTGGGACGCAGGCTGGAGCAGACGCAGCCAGCCCCAAATGCAGGACGTCCGCACTCAGGGTATAGCCCTTAAAATTCCCTCTGTTAAGGCAAAAAGGGCTCCTTTCACTTTATTTGAGCTTGGGGTAGTTTGACAGCGCAAGGCAGACGCCCGGGGCCTGGGGGCGTTTGAAGCTGTGCACGTCCTCAGCACTTGCTGCACTTGGCCACCACAGGGCTGTGCGAGGAGAGAGGTGCCCAAACGCTGCCACAGAGGCCATGGAGCTTCCCCGGGGAGGAAATCGCCTCCGGGACATCCCATCACCTCCGACTCGGGCCAGACTCAAACCAGTAATCGCATCGCAGGCTGCATCGCCCAGCAACTGGTTTTAAACAAAAAGCCCCATTGGGTTTTACTTAAAATACTGAAAATAATTGGGCTGTTTTTTTTTTTTCTTTTTACATACAATCACACATCGCCTTAGCATATGAAAACACAATTATGCTTTTGTCTTTTTTTTTTTTAAGGGAAATGTCATCCTTTTTCACAGGTGAGGCCAGGTTACAAATTCCTGAGTTTATACTGCACTTAACACAGTCTCCCTTCTTCAACGTTGAGCTGTTTACAGCATTCCAGCAATATGCACCATTTCCCTCACCATCTGCAATGCCAGATGCAGTAAAACTTCATTTCAGTGCAGTGAATTAGGGCCTCTCTTGCACTGGTTTTGAAAAGATGTGAAGACGTAGGCCTGGAGGACGTGGAAGGACAGCTTTCCTCCGGTGATCGGTCATTTGTGCACTGTCCTATACACACATTTGCTGTGTTAATTAAGGGGAAACATCTTCACCACCACTTTTCTTTCACCAAGAGCTCACTGGGAAACGAGGAAATCCTAGTCTAAACCCTTATGTTTAAACTTTCATAAAGAAACACTCCTTTGAAAGACAAGGTTCTGTTTTAATAAGTCCAATATAATGTGTGGTATATACAAAAGTCCCTACTTGATATATATATATGTATATATATATATATGGAATGCATTCACTTTTCTGTGTTCACAAATAGTTTAACGGTGAAATGCTAAAGTCTTAATCTGCTTCTGGCAGGTAATGGCACCAAAATGTCTTTGTTCCTCATCCATTTTTGTCACTCAAATTTATCTCTGAAGAACTAAGAGGGGAAATAAGAAGAAGGTTTTGCTTTTTTTGTTGTTGTTGAATAGTTCCCTACCGGGATCCTCAGCCAGCAATATAAAGTTGCTAGTGTGTGGAGCATGACATGGAACCTGTACAATGATCATGTGTTCCTTGGCGTGGGTAAATCAATGACTATGGGCGGGTTGAGAGGCTGGTAGTTCACAGTGCACACAGAGGCGTTCACGTACGTGGTGGTCCCGTCGGCCATTACGCCGTAGCCTGCAGCGAAGAAAAGCTCTGGTTATTCTCATGAGTCACTTCTACCACACAGCAAGGATGAGGAACACTCGGAAGGGTTTAATACATTCTGCCCGTGCGCAAAGCGGTGTTTTCCAGGGCTCAGACCATCCTTGCCCAACGCAGAACTTTCTGCAGCCTTTTAAATTCTGTAAAGAGAACTAAACTGACTCTGAACTGCTAGTGGCCTGGCAGCCTGCTCTCAAACCTCCTTAGAAATGCAAAGCTTTCTTAACTTTCTCTTTTCTGGAAGGGATGGGAAAATAGAACTTAGACAATTTCAGCATTGATTAGAACCTTATTCCTGATCATTTATGTTTTCAGTCATTAATCCACCAAACTTTGGGCAACCATCATTTTTCCCCATTGATTTCTGTCCTATGTTGTAGTTTTTTAAAGTGACCCATGAAGGAAAAAAGAACTGCGTGATGTGCCCAGGTAGGGAAGAACTTTCCTAGTACGTTCTCTGAAGAACACAGTGAATTCACACCCTGAGACATCATAACACTTTCACAAGACAAAACATCGTCTAAATGTCTCAACTGCAGGTAAGAAGCTGCAATCGCCTCTTCTGCCTGACCAGACACCCAAGTCAAGGAATTCCAGAGCGAAAACTGCAGGAAATCAAACTCTTGTCAACTCTAATGCTTGTAGAAATACAGGAGAACGCTGTTCCAGAAGGCAAAGAAAAATCCTTTCAAACTGCCCCAGCATTATGGAGAAGTGAACACGCTCTCCTCATTGCCAGAGAGGTTTACATGAAAGACTAGGGAAAAAAGCATCAGCTTGATTGCCCTAAAACTAGAAGCTTAATATGGGGAACTTGCCTGGAAACAAATGCATGTGTGATCATTATGACAAAGCACATTCACAATCATAAATATATGACATTGGGGAAATTACCTGGTAGAAAGTTTTTGAAAAAACGTTTAATCCCACCATTAATAAAGTTAATGGTGATATGTTTTAATTGCTACAAACATACACTGAGTAATAGAGCTATTCCTATCCCAGGTACTCAGGATCCTATAGGTTTTCAGAGGGCAATTTCATGTCTTACAGAAGCCTTGTTAGTTACAGGTTTTACATACACAGAAATAGTAGCCAAATTCCTTTCTTCTCTCCTGAAAATATTCTGAATAATGCAAGGCCTCCCGGACTCCCCGTGGGAAAAACACACACAGTAATTAGGGACTGGGGAGGGAGGAAAACTCCGCCGGGCTCCTGTCACAGACATTTCTTCAAGCCGCTTGCTGCTCGCCACGGAACAACTGTTGTGTGCAAAGCGCACGCGGCGCCGCAGCGGCTGCCATCGCTGCTGGGACTTCTGCTCGCTCGGCTACGTGTTTCTAGAGAAAAAATCACTCTGCTAATGCACTGCCTTATTAGCTTGAGGGTTCACAGAGCGACTGTTCTGCTCTTCCCCCAGTGCCAGCAGGGAGTTTCTTCGCCATGACCCGCAGGGCCCAGACCTTCGCAGGGCCCGGTGAAATGGGCAGCGCAGAAGCGCGGCGGGAGCCCTGCTGGGCTGCTCGGCACCTCCATGGGGCACCTGCAGCGAGCCCAGGCGCACGGGTGCTTTCTAGGCAGAGCTGGCAGCGCACAGGGGAAACAGCCCTTCCTGCTGGACGTTCAGCAAGCGCTGCTGCAGACGCAGCTCTGCGCTGGAACTCACCTGCTCGCAGCCTGCGCTGCCGCTGCCGGGAGCGGCTTCCTTCGCGCAGGCAGCTGCGGTGGGAATTCTCCTCTGTGAGGATTGAGCTGCCCACTGCAAAATAGGCTCTGAGATGAACTGCTCCTGCCTTGGCCTTCAGTGGTGCACACTGGTCACTGACTTTTGTGAGGGGAAGTTATTCTTTCAGTTAAAAATCAAGAGATTTAGATTTTTAACAGGAAACAAGAGAATCTCCTTGTTTTCTCTGGTCCTATTTGTCTCCCCTGCCAAAGCGAATGCATGCATAAATACACACATTGCACCTCCACACAGTTAGTGACATCCCTCTTGATTTTATCTTCATACAGGCACTGATGGGGGGAGACAACCTTGCCTGCCCAATCTCAAAGATGAAGCCTGTGAAGCGCCTCCCCACCCAAAGCACTTTTACCTGTTTTACAAATGCTGGGACACGGAGCACTTACCTGAGTTATTTCAAGTCACACCGAGATTCAGCAGGGGAAAACAGAAACCACCAGTCCTAATATTTAATCGCTTTCTGTAACTACTGGGCTTGTGTCCTTATTTTAAAATTCACAGTAATTCTCAGCATGAAGAAGCCACCAATCTATTTGATAGATATGGAAACTGAAAAAGAAGCTGAGGTGCAAATACTGAAATGTGGGTATCAGCTAATTTCATCTGTATGTCTGTATGAAGACAAATAAGTGATCTGAACTACTGAGGTACTTCAGTCCAGGTATTCAAATTTGAAAATGCTGGTTCAAGCAGCATTTCGTGTTCGTGGTTTTAAATACAGATATAGAGAAACATTTTCTAACCTTCATGGATATGTCCAAAAACATGAAGCCTTGGCTGTATTCTTCTCTGGACTGTGTTCAGCAACTCAACACATCCTACCCGTTGCATTTTCTTAGGAACCCAGTCTAGAAAACCTTTAGAAAAGAAAGGAAAGCTTTAAAAGAAGTCAGGTTATCTGCAAAACTTTACTGCGGTAGCATTCAGAAACACTTTTGAGGTTTAATGTCTCCCAGCTTTCCATACGCACTCACAGACAAACTGATGGGAGAGAAAAAACAGTGTTTTCCCTGGTCAGTAGAAGGAAAGAAAAATATTTGAAGAAAGACTTAAGACCTGATCCAAAAGAAAAGGACTATGATCATTCTTGCCAGGGGAAAAAAAATCACTGCAATTAAAGCATCTTTGCGCTGCTATTGGCAGCAGAACTCAAGACTACATCCTTCCTTCTTCCTTTCAGAGACTGAAGAGTACGGAGCAGTACGTCCGAAGCAGGGATGCCTCCTGTCAACTAAAGCCTTGTGTTTCCTGCTGCTCCCTTCAGCTAGTTGCACTAGAAGGATGTTGCTGCGGGTTTTTTTTTTTTTTTCTCTATGGCTCTGCCGTTTTTACCAGACTCAAAACTGTGAACATTTGTAATATCAGAAATCCGACTTTCTAAAACTATTTAGGACTGCAGTGTCCTAGAGGACAAAAGGAGAAAATTCTGTTAATGGACTTAAGATTCCTAATTCATTTGGACACTTTCGAAGATACCAACTTGGCTCCTGAGGATTTTGTGTCTAAAGAGAAAACACAGATAAATTCCAGGCAGAGGAGAGCAAAGTTCAAGCCCAGAAACTGATTCTACTTCTGTTCTCCAAAGCAGTTCAAAATTCAGTGTATGAAATACTAGTTTTAACATGCTAAAAGGAGCCCAGTAACTCTGCCAGAACCCTCTTCCTGCTTTTTTTTTTTTCAGAATAAACGCATTTTAGCAAACTCCAGGTTTTGCTGTGCAAATTCCAGGTTTTGCTGTTTCAATGATTTGAAACAGTTAATTGTCAGAATGGCTGTGGTGAACGTAAAGGCAAAAGTATTTCCACTTCAAAAACTCTGCAAACAAAAATCCATAAAATTAACTTCTCCATTAAATTAAGCATTATTTATGTTGAACATGTTTTTGTTTACATGCATTATCACCCTTCTGAAGCTTTCCCATATGTTTGCAGCTTATTATACACACCTGACTACACAAACTAAGAATAATTGATTACTGCTAGCTAACAATTAGAGTTCATCTTTCTTAAGGTTTTTTTAATGTTTGGGTACTTGAAACAGGTTTCTGCAGCTGTCAGGAAAGTATAAATCTTTCTCACAGACAATCAAGCAGACAGCTACAAATGAAGACTTAAGGGTGAGATTTAAAAAAAAGTGAACTTTTTGAAGAGAAAGAAAAGAATCTTAAATGTAGTTATTTAGAAGTCAAGGACAGGACTTAAAAAGTTATCCTATGCATAAAAGAAACAAACAAAAAATGCTGATATAGAAAGGAGCATTAGCTCAGTCATGAGTACTACAGTTCTTAAACTATGAAAACATGGAATATCTTCACTAATAAACAGGTTAATAATAAAATGGTCATTAATAGCTCTTTAATCTTGGTTTGCTCATCCTGTATGAACTTCTTGCCCTGATTTCATCCCAAAGCACTACTCTAAAACAGAAAAAAAAAAGGAAACAGTTGTGGATCAGATTTTTGTTATGCACCTAAGTGACTTAGAAACACAAAATTTATTAACTCTTAATGGTGCTTCTGCTTCTAAATCATGCAGGCAATTTAACACTATTTAATAATGTAGTATTAATTGGGTTAGGAGGATTTGTGTTCTTTTGAAGTGAGGGGATGAGAAAAAAAGCCCAGAAAAACAGATGATGGACAGAATCTAGGCAGCCATGCTGGAGAAGTGGAGGGCTGATTGCTTTTTATGATTGTTAAGAACAGCTCTAGTGATGCTGTCCAAGATCAGAACAGCAGTAATCAGCTTTCTGGTTAAAATAATTGGCGGGGAGGGTCAAGGCAGCTCCCATCTCCCCGAGCGTCTGAGGACGGCGCAGCACAATAAGGAGGTCCTGTTAGTAGGCAAGAGTGCTAATTTCTTTTGAAGCATCGTATATGTGTTGCTCTGGGTGCCAGGGATACCACCAGCTGATGCCTCCAGGCAGAGTGTTCTGTGCCTCTGCCATCTATTAAAACATCAATAAGAAGAAGACAAAGAAACAGGAACTTTTTTAAAAGAAAATCCTTGGAGGATGGTTCAAGCTTGAGGAAAAAAACAAGAACAAATACTGAGGAAGCGGGGGGGGGGATTAATGTTATCCAGTTATAGTTAGTGGAGATATGAGGCTCCTCCTCAGAGTTATTGAATTATTAAATTACTCCTTTATTATTGAATTTACTGGTAAGTTTATTATTGCAGCATGGGCACTGCTCCGCTCTCCGGAGACTCTCCTTCCCCCTGGATCCGACGCTCCGTTAGCAAGGTGCCCGACGCCGGCTGCAGTCAACCCTCCACCTCACAAATTCTACATGTAGGGATCTTCTTTGAATGAGCTGAAGTTGGGATTTCTCTAATCAGCTGAAGCAGCTGCTTTTAAAAATGGGTTTAAAAGTACTGATATTTTTTCTGCTAATGGTTTAAAAGCATACAACATAAACAAAGCAGTATCAAAGATCCAGAGTTACCACTCAGGCCTTGTATCCTCTAGGGATTAACCCTGGTACTAATTATGCAGAGCTGACATCTGGGGGGCTAAACAATCCATTCCTGCCATCCGCTTTTATGACACAGGTCCCATATTAAAACCAGCCTATGGTGTGGAAATAGGTTAGGAGGAGCATCAAAACACTCACCCTCATTGTGCAAAGCCGTGCTCACAAAGAGGCCCTTTCCCCCGGGATTAGTGAGCACTGGAATGCAACCCCATCTTTCCAAAGGAGGGAAAAAAAAAAAAACACACTTTTTATGTACTTTCTCCTCTAAATTTTGAAAGAGGAGAGAAAGGGTGGAAGACAAGAGCCTTTTAGCTTCAGGAAATTGGGGGCTGTGGGGAATCTAAAGGTTTAAAGGAAGTAATGAGCCTGCATCTTACACAAAGCACTCCTGCACCGTTAACACGCTTAACATCCCTGTCCAGTTATTAAGCCACTGAGAGTTAAGTGTATTTACATTAAATTTAACAGGCTATATGTTAAATACATTGAAAAATACATTAAACGCCTGCCATGGCAAACATTTCTCTGATTATTTTATTTCCATAACACAGACCAAATGATTATTATCTTGGAATATGAGAGCGCTCTGCTGGCATGCTGTTATCACCTGTATTAGTATTTGTAAGATACAAATGCAAGATCGCTGCTTGTTGATCTGTTAGTGCTGCCAGACTCCACTAAAGACAGGCAGTTCACCCCTGACATTCAAAGAACAGCTGAAAAATGGCAGCGTTTGTGAGCTGGAAGATGATACTTCAACTCAGCATGAGGAGCAAAAGGACAAACTCTGGTACTGCTGGGAAGGGAAAACTACTGCAAGTAGGAGAGAGAGCTGGTAAGAAGAAGTAAGAAGAGCAGGTAGAAACCTTGGGCCTGATCCTGCATTTCTCTCCACACTGGCTTTAGGTCTGCTGATTGCATCAGTGGTAGAGACACGGATAAATTGGACCTTGCTTATTTACAAAGCTAATTAAGGCTTAATTTATGAAGGTTTCACTTCTAAAGAGCTGGTTTAATTCCCTACCGTTGCGCATAGGTAAGGATGAAGCACAAAGTTGAGCTGTGGCGCACAACTCGGTAGAGATGCTGCCCGTGCCTTGGGCAGGGCTGGGGTTTCCTGGCCAGCAGTGACTGCACAACCACTGGACATACACAGCTAACAGCACCAATATTTTCTTACCTAGAGGTGGTCCGTGTGTAATAAGAATATCTATTCCATCTGGAATAAGGTTCCATTTCTCTAATAGTGCTTGGCCTCGTGGAAGATTAAAGCCCCAGCCATAAAACCAAGGTTGCCTGCCAAGAGAGGAGGAGAATGACTTCAGTGCTACTCCCATGCATTGGTTACCTAATTAAAACACAGAGATTGACTCTTTGCTAGCATGGAATTTGGAGACACAAATGGCATTCATTTTCTTATTTTTATGCACAATAAAATTCTCTTTCCATACAGCCTGCGTTATTTCACATGTGTGGAAAACCAGTGTTGTTCTTACCAGTTTAAGCAGGCAACATACAGGAAAATATTCATGGCATTCCTCCAGCTAGATGAGAAGTAACTATTAAAAGACTTGGAGAGCAAGATGGCCAAGCATGGATCAGTGTGCTGGACTCCCAGGGTATCTGGAACACCCGTCTCGGAGAGCTATGTGTGGATACAGGTTTCACATTAACTCATTTCATATCCCTGAGCCCATGACCCACTGGGCAAGGATAGACCCTGGCACAGCAAATCCTGTTACAAATTTGGAGACATCATCTGTGCTGTTTTGTTTTCCAAATTGGAAGCATCACATCAGAAACAGAATACTACTTCTTTTCTTAAATATAGCTTTCCTGTGTCCTCTAGTGTGTTGACTTGCTCATAAATAAGACTTTACATATGCAAAATTACTTATCAGACGGACATTTACATTTTTAAAAACATATTTATGGAGCAGCTCATCACGGAGCAGTGGGACTGTAACAATGCCAGTCAGAATATAATTTATCTGCATGCTGCCATCCCATTGATTAAAAAACTGTATTTCACAGCAATTATATCACAGTGGTAAATTATGTCTTGCTGACTATGCTCTAATTCTAGGTCATAAATTTGAGAGGTTAGTTTTAGGTTAGATTTTTTTTGTTTTAACTTTTTTGACTGACACGTTCCAGCCACATCCGTATTTGGAGAGCAACAAATAGGCTGCTGTGATTTAATAAGGCTTATGATAATTGCAGCCTGAGCATTTATAAATACATACACATCAACAAAAGTTCCCTTTGAGACATTACTTTGTTGAAGAAAGCTTTACACTCTCTCTCTGCATCAAAAGGCAGGAAGAAAGATCCCTTCTAAAGAAATCCTCTGAACTCCTCTTTACATCATGTATGGCAAAGACAAAAGAAAATGCCCATAAAGCTATTATTCATCCTCTTCCATTACTGATGCTTGACTAACATTGCAAAAATTAGCATGTCTGCAGTCTTCGTGATGATATATTTCCCACTTCTTCTTTAGGGATGCTGCAAAGCACATGTCAATTGAAAACAGCTTAAAAATACCCAGCTCGCTAAAATAGAAAGGGATGTGGCTCACCCAAGGGAAGAGAAGAAAATGCTGGTGAAAGGCAAGGCAGAAGGAGGGTTTACAGACGGGCAGAAGGAGACTTAACTTTCCTCATTTGTGCCGCTGCCCTCATCGCTCTTGGTCCTGCCGTGCCCTGCGCAAGCAGGTGTCCCAGCAAACCAATGTGGCACTTCATCCGCCTGCCTATGAGACCAGGATTGTATCTCCGGCTCCAGAGGCTGGGAATGGTGAGGTGAGAAGAAGAGCTGCCAAAAGCAGCAGCACCAAGTGGAAACTTTGCTGTGGGTCAGGCAGCTCGGAGCAGGGGAACCTGAGCAGAGCGGCGCTGCATGCAGCTCACCAGGGCGGCAGGAATTTTACCTCACAGGGATGCTGTGAAAAACAAACAAACTGAAGCCTGCAAGGCGCTCGGATACTGCAGAAGTGGGAAGCTTTATAAAAATACATGGAGAGTCTCAGACTTACATTACAGAGCTTAAATGCTGAGTAGTTTCCTGCACCAAGATGAAAATTTTAAGGAGTTTGTCAAATAATTGCATTGTGGCCGAGAGCACGTTTTCCGGGAGCGAAACCTCCCTGACGGAAAACATCGGTGAGGGCAAAGAAGAAGGAGTCACACAAAGTGTGGGCAGGGTAAATATCGCGCTAGAGAGGCCAGTGCCTCTTCAGAAGAAGCCCGTGTTTCCACAGTGAACAGGCACGACCTGCGCACGGAGGCGAACAGCGCCGTCCCTCCCTGCGCCCTGGGCTCAGAAGGAGCCTCTGGAGCATCCCTGCTATGAACACGAATGCCAAGGAAGGCTTTGGCAGCAGATGCTGCATCCGTCGCAGGCAAGGGAAGAAAGGAGAAGCACACACTTCAGGGGACACCCCCAAAGGTAAAACCATCTTTAGGAGCCCGCAGGGATTTTGTGAACCCTGAAGTCCCCCCTTCTGCAACGTTACTGCAAAACAGCACTCGAAGTTTCTGAGCAAGGAGAAAAAAAAATCTTCTCTAATACCCACGAACAACTCTGTGCCCTGGATACCACGCAAAGCCAACTTTGCGTAAAATTTCCATTTATTATGGAATTGGAAAAGAAAGTCTTAATTCAAGAACAGGATTTTTGGATTGCTCTTTCAGTGCTTGCTCGGGAAAAAGCAATTTAAAAAATAAATTCTCAAGAATATGTCACGATTCACAAAGAAAATACTTTAGTATATGTCTCATAAGAGAAAAATCTGGTCTTCTCAAAGGAAAAAAGGTAGTAAGAAAATGTATTTGGCGATTAGGGACACACATCATGAACGTATTTCACCTCTGAAGTGAAGCGCTCATGTGCAGAAATGTACGTTGATTTAGGTTTTATCTGCTTCAAGTGAGCAGTGTGAGTCTCTCGATATACTATTGAAATTCAACATATTAGTATTATGATAAGAATAATCACTGTCTATATATCAGGCTTTAGGGGAGAGATCTATTGGAAGCAATTTTGTTTACAGCATAATTAACCTTATGTTAAAAACATATGAGCAAGTTTTGCAGGTCAAATAAGCTACCATTCAAAAAGGGCTGAATTATCAGAATTTGTGCTGGCAATCGGATGTTGCTTTATGTACTGAATTTCTATCTTTCTGTTCTAAAGTAACCATTGGAATAATTTTCTTACAGAATGATAGTTGCTATGACAACCATAGCAAATTTTCCTTTTCTGAAACAGATGTCTCATTTAGTTGAAAATTAGAATGTGAAAAACCCATGGGAAAAATTAATTCAAACTTTAACAGAACACTGACTACAATGTAATCTCTTATAGGTTAACCCCTTAACATCTTTCTGCACTCTTAGAGTAACCTTCTCATAAATTCTAATTAAACCAGTTTAACCTCCTATAACTGACCTTCTTAGCTATCATTAGCTCTTTAGCCATCATTACTTGTCTTTGAAGGGATCATTTCTGCTACAATAATAGCAGAAAAAGTCATACAAAAAAAAAATTGGCCAAACATATTATCGCCTTAATTATTTATCCGTATTTCTTCTTTCGTTCGGACACTACTAGACAGAGCCACCACATAGTCTAAGTGCTCTTTTGTCATTTAAATAGGGCACGACTTAGTTTTGCATGTCATTTACTGTAAAGGGCTGTGCTGCACTATACAGTTTTGACCTGTAATTTAAGCGAACATCGAAGGTTTTCCATTTTCAACTGCCTGGTATACAGCTCGATTCGCGCAGCCGGTGTACTGAAAAGGAGACAAAGATACTTGGCTAGGGGAAGCCACCTAACCACGTGCACAGGATTTTCTATAAGGAGTGACAAGAGAGTGAAATCTGATTCTTGGTTGCTTTGATTCAACCGTTTTAACCTGAAGAACAGACTCCCTGCTCTCTGTGCACTTAGGAGCTCGACGGGAACCTCCTCGACCCATGTTGGGCAGCTACAAATGAGCAGCGTGGGCAGCCATGGGGCCGCTGAGACGTGCTCCCACCATGGCACTGCTGGCTGCAAGGTACCACGAAACCTTCAGAGCTGCAGAATTTCCTGTGGCAGCTTCATCTGGGCTGTCCGGGTGCTTAAGCCAAAGCAGGCACAAAATTAACCTTGGCGACTTGCAGGGATGACTCCGGTGTGCAGCCCGGTGGTGGCAGTGCTGCAGATGGGAGATGGCTGCGGCACAGCATATCAAAGGGATTGGTAGGCAACATCTGGCAAACTTCTTAAAAGCAAAAAATATATAACTAAAACACCACAGGCAGATCATCGCATCCCCTCATTTCTGCAAAGTTTCTTACAGAAATCTTTTTTACTGTTGAAAGGCTCTCACTACAATTTCTTTACCTAAAAAATAGATGCTAAAGGCTCACAAAGACATGTATCTTGTTCCAGTCTTTTCTCCACAACACTTGTCATTTTTCTCCTTTAAGAAAGTATAAAGATAGTGGCCAGTGCTTTTGCAGAAGCTCAGAAGGAGCAGACTAAATCAAATGCTCCCCTGCATTATAATTGTACAGCTGCACTTAATCCACATAAGAGCAAGATTGGACTTCGGGTGCTGAAAACCATATTGGCCACAGTAACCTGCGATGAGATACGGGAATAGAAAAGCAGTCAGAATCAGCCAAGGCAGTCACAGGTAAAGACGAATTCATACTCAGAGATGGCGAGGGTGAATTCCAACACATCCTAATTCCCAGTCCAAGAAATCTCCCTGTTGGATATTTCAGTCTAATTTTCCTCTTCTTGATTTTATCTTATTACTCCCAGTTACACTTCTATGAGCCACACTGACTACTTGCCTTGCTTGCTTGGTGTTCATCCTTCAGGTGTTCATGTTTTTATTCTCCCCAACACTGCATTAGTTGCATTTTGACCTTTCTCTATAATTAGGGGTTTTTTTACGTTCATTGAGTATTTCTACGGCTCTGCTGCTCTTTGCTAATGCCAGCCTCAGTTTTCTCTCCAAGTAAGGATTCATAAAAGTGCAAATTCTTTTTCTGTCACTGGTAGTTTCCACGTCTAAAGTAGCTGTGAAATGACACTATTCTGTCTTCTCACCTTCAGGAGGATTGTCCTAAACAGGCAAAAAGACCAAACTAGCTATTAGGCCATTTGTGCAAGGAGGTGCTCACAGGACACTGTTTGTTTATATACTTTGAATTGTCCTTCATCTTCTTCACATCTGAGCATTTCACCAGCACAACTGAGATTTAAAGGGGTCCAGAAGTTGCGAGGAGTTTGAG